CCCCAAAACCCCAAAACCCCAAAACCCCTCACAGATCTATTTAAGTTGAAATATAATAAAAAATGGAGTCGGAAAGTAAGTAAATTTTATTCTAAAATACTCAATGCATCTTTGTGAGCAATGAATAAACACTATTTCATAGTTAACACTTCACATATATTAACTTTATCGATAGCCTCAAACACCATTAAACCCACCAAATCCCTGCTGTTAAGCTTCAGCAATTGTATAAATATCCTAAAATATTACGGAACTCTCCTTGAATCCCACTCTCTTCTCACCACTCTCTGAACTCAATCCGTAAATCTCTGGTTTACGTACAAACAAGCCTTTATCAACGGTATCTCCTCAGAACAAGGAAGAAGAACTCTCAAAGCATCAATTCCATTCAATAATGAGGTTGCTTGCTACTTTAACAGCATTGAAGACTCCTTAGAGTTGCATGTTTATGATTATGTAATTGAGCTTCGCACAGAAAGTTGCATTAAAGAGTTTTGAGAGTTTTTGGAGGGGTTTAAGAGCAAGGAGTCGTTGGTGTTCAGAGAAATCGTTATCCATTATAAGAAAGGAATGGAACCAGAAGTCATAAACTCACCTTACGATACACTAAGTCAACACTCATTGGACACTTCTTGCATCCAAATTAACGGCCTGCGTAAATTCTCCCCCTCCAGCTCATACGACTTCATAAAACACACTAACAAATTCAAACTCTCTACCATAACCTCCAACATCCGTTCCAATCTCACCACCTACACCGACCACGACTGTATAAAATCAATCTCCAAATTCTGCTTCGACGACCCAAGTTTCAAACACCTTTCCGATATCAGTAAGACTCTCACCCCAGTGCTCATGGTCTATAGGGAATTGTGACCAGATCGTCCCACTGTCAGCTAGGCAGGCGTGACAGGAAGTCAATATTGGGTGCAGACTTGATGAAGAATTTAAGAGTGATGCTGTTGAGAGGGTGAAGGAGCAAATAGCTATGGTTTTTCCAAATTTTAGCAAACTTACTTTTAGCCCAAAAGTGTGATTTGAAAAGAATGACCATAATAGACAGTTGATCGACTTTATCCCGGATGGGACGTGTCTTGAGTCGTTTAATTGAGAAGATTCTTTACTAGATATGAGGGATTGTAATGTGTTCTATTACAACTCTCATAGTCAAGAGTTTCAATCATTTAGTGCTACAAAAGTAGTAGTTGGTTTTTCGATTGATTGGGATTACCCAAGAATTAAGCAAGATAAAGGATTTTATATCACTACTTATAGCTCTATCTGATTGATTGAAAACATTTATGCAAAAGATACACAAGATCTTGATAAATTAAAAAATTTTATCGACAAAAGAGAAGAGTTAAAATCTGAAGAAAATAATCAAACTCCCTCTTTAACCTCTTCAAATTTAATTTATATTGAGCCTAAAGAATTTGAATTAATTGCCGACTCAGAAGTATTTGATTCTTTCAGACCTTCAAAATGTACTATTTTGAGTCTCGGCTTTAGACCGATATCAGACATAAAGAAAATCATTTCAATCCTTAAGAAGCTGAAATGGCATCATTTTACTCTTTCAGCAGCAAATTTAGAAACCTCTTCTTTCTTAATCCGACTGCTTGACTTCAAAGTAACCAGTCTGACTCTATACATTGAAAACAATACCACAAAATCCCAAAAATCCCCTTCAAAGCAAACCCTCGCTCTAAAATCCAAAATCCTTGACTCAAAATCCCTCCAAAACCTACTAATCCTCTCCTACCCATATGCTTCCCAACTGTCCCCATCAGACCCCAACTTCCCCAAAACCCTCTCAGATCTCCTCTGCCCACCCCCAAATCCCCCCTTCAAAACCCACCTCTATTTCCGTGAAATCTTCAATTTCTCTTACTCCTTCCGGGGTTTTGGGGTTTTGGGGTTTTGGGG